TAAAGACACCAGCACAAGGTGTCATTTTACTTTTTCAAGGAGTGATTTCCAAATCACAAAGCACCTCCACCATCACCCCTCCTACCACAGCCTGAAAGCATCTTGATTCTGTTTTCAAAAAGGGACACCTCAGAGTTGAGCCAGTTCTGCCAGGGCAACCCTTGGTGCCCCTGTCTCCATGTCTGTCACCCTTGCTTTCATCCACAGCCACAGAATTCTTCTGCTGTGGACAGGAAAATTGTTCCCATTTCTCCTGTACTTCTCTGGTTACCTTTTCTCCAAGCTGGGCGGGACCCACAAGAAGAGGCTGTGATCCTCTCTCAGCTCATAGGCAGTTCTGGTGGCATGGGCAGCACTTTGTAATATCTCCAGAACATGGCTCTGAAACAGAAAATGCAACTTGTCCTTTTGTTAGCATTCAGGAGCCCACATAATCACAGGATATGATTATATGCAGGTACTTTTATTAAGAGCTCTGGGAATCAGGGGTCCAGACCCAAATCTGACTCCGACGTGGCTTTCGAGCTGAACGTATTCTATATTCTATCGTTATATAACTTACACATTAATTATCTGTTGTATACATTGACATGAGTTTCTCGTGATCTTTATTAGGCCCCTGACCACAGTTTCTCATGATTATTCTTACGATTAAATATTAATTATATTTAATTACTAAACAATCATCACATCTAACAATTATATAATTTATCATGTACTAGCTACACAGGCGCAGTTCTAGCAAGGTACGGGGCCTTCATGTACCTAGGGTATTTATTTTTCTTTTCAGAGCCTACTAAGCTTAATTTTCCTTTTAACCCTAAATCCCCATGACTTTAAAACCCTTTTACAGCCGAGATTTTCGCGTCTTTTTTGCCGCTCGGGCGAGTCCGCGACAGCCGCGGCTGCAGTGCCGCTCGCTGCCCACGAGGCGGCAGCACCGCCGCAGCCGGAGGCAGGGCAGGGGCAGGAAAGAACGGGATCCCCCCCCCCCGAGGGTAGCAAGGAAAAATGATTTTTTAAAATTTTAATAGGATATTAAAGTGATAAAATGAAATTTAAGAATATTTAGACTTAAATGTAGTGAAATTTAAATTTGTTTGATTTTATTAATACTTGTTGCAGGTTATTATTTAAAAATACTGCCTTTTTACAGTATTTTGGTTTTGCAGAAATGTTAGACTGTTGAGTTATGATTATTACTTATATCTTTTATTTATTGGGAGATATGTTTCTTAGTCAAATATTTTTATTTATGTTACATTTCAAATGGTACTAATTTGTATAGCGTGTTTTTTAAATGTAGGATATTGATTAGATTTTTTTATATCTTTTGTGGGCTTTGACAAATATTTATTTATATGTCTAGGCTTTCCTATATTTCAAGTATGTTTTGATCGTTTTTCTTATTTCTTTAGGAGTTTTTGATTTAGAATTTGAAGATTAGTTGGTGTTTGGAGGAAATAAAGTTGGGGGTTTTTTGGATACGGCTGAGTTGTATTTTCAACGTTAGTAAGGACTACTTTCGGCATGTAATTTTGATTTTTTTGTTTGGTTGTGGGGAGGGTCTCCTGTTAGATGTGGAAGCGTGAGACTGGCATTAGGACTTTTTGTCTAATGGTTTATGAGTCTGCTATTTTAAGCTTTATAAAATAGAGGTGGTGATAGAAGAGGTGTTATTTTGAGTTTTATAAAATACACTGAGAATTAGTTAAAATCATGGAAGAAACACTATGGTAATTAAAGGGTGCTATGTTTAAAGAGCTATAAACCTTTTTTAATAACTGCTTGACTTAAGGGGAGCTTAATCTACTTTTTCTGCCCCAGAAGGCACCAATGGCAAAGCCTCTGCCCCAATGCTCGTGTTTCACCCGACCAAAATCAAGAGCAAAAGTTGGTTGGGCTTTAAAAACTTGAAACAAATTTGAAGCAAAATAAATCACATTTTTCCCCTGTGCTTTTTCCTTTCAGATGCCGCACTCACCTCTGCGGACACGTGCCGAGCTCTCGCTGCAGGAACCCGTCAGGCCTCGATGGCTGTGAGTTCATGTTCTTCTCCCTGGGGAATTTAAAAAATTGCTGAGGAATTGCAGAAGTGTTTTCTGGAGCCTTTCCCCTTTTGTGCCCCTGTGCTGTGTGGGACGAGGGCAGAGGAGCGGCTGCTCCCGGCCGCGGCGCCGCAGCCCCGCTCGTCCGGCGGGGCTCCCCCGGGGATGCGGACACGGGTCGGGGGAGGCGGGCGCTGCTGCTCGCAGGGGAGCGCGGTGGCCACGGGGCTACCGGGGCGGGGGGGCTCGGCATCCCGCGGGGGCTGCGGGGCGGCTCCGTGTCCGCCCGCGGGGCCGGAGGCGGCGCTGCGGGAGCGGCGGT